GTAGCAGGCTATTCTGTGTGTGTGTTGGGGGGGACCACTCAGGTACAGAGCAGCTCTCTCAGGAAGGGGCATCAGAGCTGGGGCTTGAAGTTCACCGAGTAGCTGGGAGAGAAAAGACCTCACAGCAGAGGGAACGTTCACGAGGGCCACAGTGGGAAGGATCCGGCCAGTTTGGGGCTGAGGGTGATAGTGGGTGTGTGCCCTAGTGGGAGACCCACCTGGTCTACAAGGAAGTAAACTGGTGTCCATTTGTCCATTTGTCAAGTCCTTTTAGAGTGCAGAGTGGAGCTGGTGGACTGGCTCAAGTGGTAGAGAGCTTGCCTAGCAAGTGCAAGGTCCTCAGTTCAAATACCAATACCACCAAAAAAAAAAAAAAAACTAAGATTTTTTTTTTTGAATACACGTTGTCTTTTGAGGTTTCAAGGCCGTGTGTGTGTGTGTGTGTGTGTGTGTGAGAGAGAGAGAGAGAGAGAGAGAGCTGTTAATGGAGAGACACAGCAGGCAGCCACCCCAATTTCTTCCATTTGACTAGGCCAGTCACTCAGAGGGTCCTGGTTGGTGTCTAGTGGTCCAGGCTGGGAGCAGGGTTACATAGTCACAGAAAGAGGTATCCAGGTGGCCTCATCAAACTTCAGAACTTTCTCTTAGGCACACTGGCACTGCAGGAGACTCAGCAACACTTCCGAACAAGCACTGCTCACAAGACCCAGCAGCCCCTGCGTTGGGCTCCTCAGACCTCCACAAGTCTCCTCACCCCTCACCCCCACAACCCTGCTCTCCCAGCATGCAGCACGGTGCTGATAGGATGACTGGCTGTCAGGGGTTCAGCCTTCTGAAAGCCTTGGGAAGGTTACTGAGCTGCTCTGTACCTGAGTGGCCCCCCAACACACACACACAATAGTGCCTGCTACAGATGGCTGTGACAACTAAGTGAGCATATATTTTGAGGTGCTTGGATGGAGCCAGTTACAAAAAACAGTTCAAAACTAGTGCCATACTGAAAGGATGCTGGGCACTAACCGACCACCTTGAGGAGCCCACAGGGTTGTGGCAGGGTGGGCGGGGCTGTGAGAGTGGTGAAGGCTACGGGGAGGGCCAGGAGGCCTTGGTGGGGCTTCTGAGAGTGGGCACGGCAGATCTAAGGCTGCTTTGCAGACAGTTTCTGCCCCTCACCGCATCTGCCTCTGCCCATTTGACAACGAAGCCAGCAGTGATTGTGGGCCAGGTGCTGGGTTGGGCGCACAGAGCACAGCGGGCGAGGTGGGCGGGGACTGCAGCCCAGGCTTGGTGGGTCATCGCCCTTTCCCAATCTTAATAAGGAGCTTGGAGCACACAGGGAGATTTGAGATAATGGAGGGAAGACTGTGCTGTACACAGTAGGTGTTCAATAAGTGTTTGCAATATCCACTAGGAAAGGATTGCAGCCCAGGTGGGCTGTGGATGGCCTCCAAGACCCCTTCCAGTGCAGGACACTGTCACTAAGGGGTATAAAGGGGGACTGGACCAGGACAGCCAAGTCCCAGGGAGGTGGAGACTATGGAGGAGGCAGGCGGAAGACGCAGAGACCCGAGCTGTATGCCCTGGCTGCAGGACCTGAATACTCTGTCCCCACTCTAGCCTGCAACTTCCTGTGCCAGAGAAGGGCACTGGCCACCAGTAGTAGTGTTAAGGGCTAAGGGGAATGGAGCAGGAGGCTTCTGGGTCCCAGCTGTCCCTTCTTCCGGGAGCCTCAGGGCCCCTCCCTGCCCTCGTGGATTCCGTGTTTGTAGCCCAGTGCAGTAGGGGTGGCTGCTGGGCCCTGTGGGTGCTCAGCCAGTCTGTTGAAGGATTGGAAGTGTTGATGCTGTGGGGAAAGCGCCAACCAGGCCTGGCTGTGAGGTTCCAGGACAAAGGGCTGAGCAAAGGGCTGAAAACTCAGCTGCCTCACAGGGAGTGAGCTTCTGCCTGTCCCTCTACCCACAAGCTGTATGCTTTTGCCCCTACCTTAGCCTCTCACCCATGACAGCTTAATATCCCTGAAATGATTTTTTTTTATCTTACTCCTCTGGCCCTTCATAATGCTCAATGTTGAGTGAGCGAGTGAGTGATGGGGCAGGGGATACACAGGTGAGTCACAGGAGACATCAGACCTGGACTCTGCACCTGCCAAGACCAGGCACACCTAGGGAGGCTCGGCTGCCTTCCCAGGCCTTTCCTGAGTGGAGCTGAGGTGGGCACAGGCTGCTGCTGGAGTCCCAGAGGAGGAAGTGAGCCATCTGCACAGAGGAAGCAGAGATGGCCATGGTCACCCAGGTTACCTGGTGAAGGAGCCCAAAGGTGGGTCTGTTCAGAGCAGAGACCAGCAAGAGCAGAGAGCAGCAATGGCAGGAAATGCTAGCTTCAGGAACCCTCCATGAGGGGCCCCCAAAGCTGGGCAGTCCACTTCCCCCAGGGCATGCAGCCAGAGTGTCCCCACCTCCAGGCTGCAGCACAGTAGGGGTGCAGTGGACTCATGGGAGTCCTGGCATTCACTGCAGAACTCCCGCTGAGAGGACAGGACTTGGCGTGACCATAGTGTAAAGTCCTGTGTTTTCTGCCTTATTCCATATGTGTGTGTCCATCCTTCCTCCAAGACAACAAGACAGCTTCAGTCACTGTATCTGCCCAGTAAACCCTGAAATCGGGTGGACAAGTTCTTCCCTCTTCATTCTTTTTCACATTGTTCAGTGATCCTAGCTCCTTTGCTTCCTGTGCAGGTGCTGGATAACCCTGCCTGTGGTTTTGGTGTCAGGGGAGAACCAGCTTCCTGAAAGGCAATGGGACATTGCATTCTCTCCGTCTTCCATGGCAGACCATGGGGGACTGGCTTTAGTCTTTTGTAAACATTTGGTAGAGGTCTCCAGCGAAGCCCTGGGAGCCTGGAGGTTTCTCTGCGATGGGTTTTTAAATTACAAACTACTTTTCGTCTCTCACTGGCTCTCACTCATGAATGGGTTAAATAAAAGCCTTGACATGTGTCCACTTTACATTTGAATGAATCGTAATCTAACTTTTGAAAAATATTTTTCTTCTAACATCTCTTCCCTGCCCAGAGGCAGGCAGGCTGGTTTCTCATCTGGAGATGGCCAGCAAGGAGCTGGGCAGAGCTGGGAGGGTAGGGACACCTGGCAGAGGCTCTGAGGCAGCAATGACCTGCCAGGGAGCTTGGCTTCCCACTGAGCACCAGAGCTGACAGACACATCCACGGGCAAAGGTTTGCTCCACAAGCAGAAGGCAAACTCCTGGTGTGGGTGGAACACTCATATTGAGGGGATCTGTGCTGCACTAGCTTCCCCAGGCACCTGGCGTCACCAGCTCTGACAAAGACTTCTCAGGGCTATAGGCACAAGACACCTCCTTAGCCATTCTGGTGGCCTTGGGCCTCAGGCCTTAGAGGCCGGCCAAGGGTCTCAGACAGAGCAGAGCCTTTTCCAGGACACAGCTTGGTGGGAGGAAGGGGGAGGCCCAGAGGTGAAGAAGCTGCCGATAGGCAGGCCTGGGGCCACCAGCACACCAGAGATGCTCAGGGAGCCCAGAGTCTGTGTTTGGACAGGAAAGGCAGTCCTCACGGTGCCCACCACCAGCCTCCTGCGGCCATTTCAGACAAGGACATTGAGTCACCGATGCGACAGCATTTTCAACTAGCCACAGTGGAAAACAAGGAGAAAGAAGTGACATCAATTTTCATCACATACTTTTTTTAACCTAATATATTCAAAATATCTTGCCTATATAGGAAGCATTCCAGCCATCAGAAAGATGTGACCAGGATGGGCCCTGTGGCCTGTGAGAGCTGGAAAGGAGAGGGTGGTGGACACTTTCCCTGCTCTAGGGCCCAGTGGCCCTACCCAGTGGTAGGGAGGCCTGGCTCTGCCCTGAGGCTGTGTCTTAGGGAGGCTCCGTCCTGCCCTAAGAACCTGAATATAGGACCCTGTGAGGGATGAGACATCCTCCACTTTCTGGCTCATCAGAGCCCCCTCTGCAAACCAGCCCTCTGTCCCTCAGATCCCTCCCACGCCACCTGCCAGGCTGGGAGAGGCAGAGGCAGAAGGGTCACGGTCTCCAGAGCCAAGGCTGAGGCTCTCCTTCCCACCCACGCAGCTCTTCAGCTCTTCGGGACTCCAGGAATGAGCTCCCAGTGAAAGCTGCTGCAGAACGGAGCTGCCTGTCAAAGCAATGACAGGCAGGGGCTGCCGTCAGCGATAGAAGGCGCAGAGCCACTGACGGAGCTGCACTGGCCACCCACCTCCCCTTCCTCCACTTACCTGCAGATGGCAGACCATGGAGGGAGAACCCCAGGGGCTTCAGTGATTGGATCACAACCCAAGTGCTGCCAGAGCAGAGATGAGGAAACCAAGGCAGGAGGAGGGGACGCCACTTCACATCAAGGATCCACAGGATCCAGATCCCCCCTTGCTGCCTGTAACCACGGCCAGCAGCTCAGATCACCCATTTTATTGCTGGGGAGGTAAAGGCCATGCAGGGTGAAAGAGTTGAGAAGGATGAGGGGGAAGTCAGAGATCAGCTCCCACAGAGGTCAAGGGAGGTCAAAGGGCAAAGGACAGGCAGCGGAGAGGGAGTGGAGACTGCAGTGATGTTGGTGTCCCCTGGCAGCGATGGATTGAAACAGGACCCACAGGGATGGCTGTAAGGAAAGGGAGGGTGGCAGTGAGGGAGTCGCCCTGCATGGGGTGTTGAACACATGGCAAGAGGTGGTTTCTAAATGTCCCCTCCCCTCTGGCACTGTGACCCCTAGCTCAGAACCCAAGGACCCTTCTCAAGCCCCACCTCCTATGGTCATCCATCAGGGATGCTGTGGGTACCCCAGCCTGGTTTCCATAGCAACCTGGATGTGATGGAGGGAAGAAGGTAGAAACACACAGCTGCCTAATAAAGAACAACAGCTTCAAAACTGAACAGCGGAGAGAAGTAACCATGAGGTCAGCCCCTGGCACTCTCAAATAAGCAGCCTCGGCCCTCACCACGGCCTGCATCCTGGCACCGGTCAGCACAAGCCAGCACCGGCCAGCACGGGTAGCATAAGCCAGCACCAGCCAGCATGCACCAGCACTGGCCAACACAAGTGAGCATAGGTGAGTCCGGCACATCACACCACTCCTGCAGGGCCAGGGCAGGCAGCCAGACTCAGATATCCCCAGCTGGCCCCAAAGGCTCACTCTATGGGGACACAGGTGGTGCCATGTAAGGAACAACCATAACCAGTGCTCACTGACACCTCTCTGTGACAGTCCATGGGCCCATCTGTCCATGTGGCACCTCTCTGACCTCATTGTGAGCCCTGCAGCAGTCCAGGAACTGACATCATTTACAAGGGAAGAAACTGAGGCACACAGTGGCCATATAGAGGAGGGGGAAGGGCCACAGCTAAGGAGGCCTGGAAATCTGAATGAGTAGAGGAACTGAGCCATGAGCCCAGGCCCAGCAAACGTCATGAGGGTCCTGCCTGCTCTACTGAAGCTGAAACAAAATGGCCACCAAATCAGCACAAACAACACACATCCAGATGTCACAGTTCTGTGGGCCAGAGCCCAGTCCTGGATCTCACTGGGCTAAAGTAGAGGTGCTCCTCTGGGAGGCTCTGCGGAGGACTCCCAAGCAGCCTCTGATGCACCGTGGCCTCACATCACCTTCCTCCCTCCTCAGAGTCGTTGCGTCACCCCAGGATCACAGTGTTTCTGATCCCTGAGGTCAGGCTGGTTGAGGGGCTGTGGGGAGAAAGGGGAACAAATACTCTGAAATCTCAAGCACCCTCCCACCCCAATCTGCAACTCCCATGGCGCCCTCCTGGCCTTTGTTGAGTGGGGCCAATATCCCCTGAAATGGACAGAACATGGTCCCTGGTGTGTGTGGGGGGCTGTGAATAGACGAGGCTCTCGAGTGCAATCACTGCCCCCACCCCTGCTCTCAGAGAATAGCCCACCTCGTCCCCAATATCTCTGAGTGTTTAGGGATGAACAAGCATTTTCCAGCAGGACTGGACCAAGTGCCAGGGCCAAACAGAGACAAGATAATTATGGGGGATAACAGAGGCTAAAAATAGTCTCCTTCAGAGCTGTCTGCTGGCAAGGAAGATGCCAGACAATCTAGCAGCAGGAGGCTGGGGGCACAGGGTCCACAGGAAGGGCTGGCCTGTGCACAGGGCTGAATCCACTTCTGGGGCATGCTGGCCAGGAAGGGGCTTGCAGGGCTGACATGGAGGTCTCTGTCCTTAGAGAACACCAGGCAAGTGTCAAGACAGAGGGTGGTCAGGATGGCCACAGCACAGCCAGGACCTTGGGTAGGACAGGGGGTCCACATGGAGAAGCACAAGAGCAGAGCTCTGGAGGGTGCATGGGGGTCTGCAGACAGTGACCACTCCCTGCAACACAGTGGACGTCCAGAGAGGTCAGGATGCAGGCAAGGGTGGTGCCAGAGACAGCACCAGTGTCCTGCCTGCCTTTCTTCCAAGCTGAAGAAATTGCACCTGGCATGTCCCCCATTTGGATACCCTCAAGGCAACAAGGTCACTTCCGCCTCAGGTGGCTGCTGTCTTTGGGGACAGCCTCCAACAAGACTTGCCTCTCTTGATGTGCCCTGTGATGGCCTAATGTCTCTGGGACCAAGGCTGTGTGTGCCTCAGCACAGACCTGGACACAGCATGGACGTGGGGAGGGACTCAGGACCAGCTGCTGGGGAGGAGGGAGGACATCAACCCACCCTGCCTTTCCCAGGCTCCTGTGTTGAGGTCAGAAAGGGGAGGCATATGGAAGGACAGAGGTGAATAGCAGGAAGCAGCCGGTGAGCACCACATGGGGGCTGGGAGGCAATAAAGATGCTGCTCATACTTTTAAGGGACTCTGGAAGGACAGAGCACTTGGCAGGATAGGAAAGGGCCAGAGAGAGACAAAGACAGGAGGCAGAGACAGGAGGCAAAGGGGTGAGGGGAGGGATGGAAGGGACGGTAGAGATCTGCAGCCCTGATCAATGAAGAAGGAGACGGGGGAATGGGCCCTGGCTCTCTAGCCAGGAGAGGAGGGCCTCAGCCTTTTCAGAAGCTGACTGAATCCAAGCTCTGTCAGAAGGCAGAAAGAGGCTGCCTAGAGGCTGGACCCAGACTCCTCAGTCAGTGACTTCATTTCTTAAGGATCTCTTTATCCCAGGACAGTGTTATCTCCAGGAAATGAAGAACAAACTCAGAGTGGCACCAAGGAGCTCCATGTGCCATGAGCCTCAGGTGCAGTGAGCCTGGGGGAAGCAAGTGTGTGTTAAGGTGAACAGGACAGGAGAAAGGGCAACTTGAGGTTCCAGGGAAAACCAAGCACTATGAAAGAAAGGGAAGAGAACCACAGTCTTTTACCTTGGATGATATCCTGTGCTCACGATAGTTAAGCATCAAACGTTTAACAGGGGTAATCTGGCCTGTGGGGAAGGGGCCACCGCCAGGCACTGACAGGACAATGGTCAGCAAACAAAGCCTGAGGTACCAAGGTATGCAGCAGCAGCATTTCCGCATCGCCTGCCTATGTGCACAAGAAATGGAGGCATGAGCTGAGGGTTAGGGGTTCCCCAGGCCCCAGGAGAAGGGCGGGTAGTGGAGTCAGGGCTGCGCGTGCAGCTTTGGATGGTGTTGTGAGGAAGCTATGCGAAGAACATAGGGCGACACAGTTGACTATCCACACAGTGAGAATCTCTTGCATAGCAATAAATCCACAGAATAGGTTTCATTGGCATTATTCACCAGGTACTCTTTTTTTTTTTTTGGTGTACTGGAATTTGAACTCAGGGCCTTGCCCTTGCCAGGCAGGTGCTTTACTAGTTAAGCCATGCTCCCAGATCTTTTTGCTTTTAGTTATTTTTGAGATAGGGTCATCCTTTTTGCCCAGGCTGGCCTGGACCTCTCCTCCTATTTATGCTTCTCGAGTATCAGAGATGACAGGCATGTGCCACCATGCCCAGCTATTGGTCAAAGTGGGGTGTCACTAACTATTCCCTGGGGCTGGCCTTGAACCATCATCCTCCCAATCTCTTCCAAGTACCTAGGATTACAAGCTGTGAGCCACTGCGCCTGGCTATTCACCAAGTATGACTTCAAACAAAAATCATGAGCACAACTATCACATTTCTTTTATTCCATTCCAATCTTAGATACAAATTTTAACAACTATCAGATCACACGTTATACTTCACACAATAATATATAGGTTACAGAAGACTAAGAAGAGTTAAAGAGAGGCTGAGTGTGGTGGTATGCACCTGTAATCCCAGCTACTTGGGAGGCAGAGGTAGGAGGATCACATTCCAAGGTTGGCCTCAGACAAAAAAACCGTAAGACCCTAGCTGAAAAAGAAACTAAAAAAGCAAAAGGGCTGGAGGCATGCCTCAAATGGTAGAGCTACTTCCCTAGCAAACACAAGGAACTGAGTTCAATCCCTTGTACCGAAAAAAAAGTGGGGGATGGGGGGTTTAAGAGGCTGCGGTATTCCAAGGGTCTGTACAGAAGGCAGAGGCAGAGATCTGACAGATGCAAGAAAAGCCTCTTCAGGGAACCAGATAGGAAGTTTTACTAATAACAGGGGCAGAGCAGGGCTCAGAGCTGTCAAATGCAGGTCCGGGTGCAGGCAGTTTCGAGAGTCAGTTTGAAGTGGACGGTGTGTCACAGACAGGAGAGATCAAACTTGAGCTGAAGCCCTGGGACAGACAGACATTCCTTGCTGTGGCAATTTTCCTAAGTGAGTCTCGTGATGGTCAGTGTGACCTGGTGACAGGTCAGTGTGCCTGCCATACTCAGTCCGGGATGCTCCTTCTTTTGTAGCTCCAGAAGAAAGGGTTTTAGCTGGCATGCTTAATAAGTTCGTGTGTCTGGTGCTTCTGATATGATCTGATATAGTCACAGGTATGACTCTTTTTTGGCACACATAATCAGCGTGTGCCTCCTAGTGTGCTGGCAGATGTAGTCATTCAACCTTGGCACTTGTACTCAAAATGGAATAACTCAGAGCAAGGCACAGCCTGAAGGCTGCTGTTCTGTAGGACATAGAGAAACCACAGCAGGCCCAGCCTGCCCTCCTCGGACGGTCAAGATGGACGTGACCAGGGCGTTGTACCACGTGCTGGTGGGGTAGGGAGGCCTTGTGTGCAGAGTCTCAGTGGGGTTGAGCTTGGTGAGTATAAACTCCGCCATGCAGTGTAAGGGATCCAACTTCTGGAAAGGCCACTAGGTAGCCCGTGGCCTGACCTCTGCCATATCCTCAAGCCAGGCTGTACTTACCAAGGTCCCAGGAGGTGGCTGAGGTCAGCGCTAGGATTGCTGGTGGTCACCTCTCTAGACGTCGAATTGAAGTAGGCTGAGGGGCTGCTGGTTTGTGCTGTGCAAGACAGGAAGAACGAGAAGAGCCTTGTGGGGACTAGGGAAAGACAGACAGGGAAAGGAGACCATTTGCTTCACCTGGTGACTGACTCTCTGACCTCAGTTTCCCCATCTACACAAGAAGTGGCCATTTCATCTCTGAGGCCCCCTCCCAGAGAGAAGTGGTGGCTATTAGCCAAAGGACACTGTCCTGCAGCTGCTGTCCCATATCTGGGCCCCCCAGAGCCACCAGGGTGCCTGGCTTCCTTCCTGGAGGAAGCAGGCTAATGTATGCCGCCTTGGTGCCTTCAAAAGTAGGGCACAAGCTGGGAGCGCCACTTGAGCGTGGGTGAGCCTCTTGAGGGGAGCTGGGGACACTGGAAGAGAAGGAAGGTGTGGAGGGAGCTACTCCACCCCCAACCAGTGGGAATGAGGGGTCAGTAAGTAGCTGGGCCAGAGGTAGGGACATGGTGACTGGCCAGAAGCCAGGGTCATAAGTGGCCCATGGGTGGGCTCCATGAGTGGTTGGGGTCAGGATTCAGTGGGACCGGGAAGCAGGTTGTCTAGGATGGAGCTCTGCCTTTGTCCCATTATGACAGTTCTCTGATCCTCAGCAAAGTCACTGCAAACTCAGCACCTGCCTCTTGCTCTGCCCCACACAGGAGCAAAGCCAAGTCTCCAAGATGGCAGTGCAGTGAGGGCAGCCGAGCCCAGAATATGGGGTGAGACAATGAGGGTTCAATAATTGCCATCCTGAGGTCTCTAGGACATATGGCCGCAGGAGCTAGAGTGCAGCTGGCTCCACTGTCATTGATCATGGGTGGGACCCTGTCCTTCCCTTGCTTTGACATCTGGAGTGTGGAGCTGGGGAAGAAGCCTGTCGTGGGGGAGCCCCAGCAGGTTCACACGTGTTTCTCCTTTGACAGAACAAGTGGGTGCTGTGTCACAGAGTGGACCATGGCAGGAAGGGCCTTGTCCCCAAGGAAGGTGGTTCCTTTCGTGGAGGTGACTATAGGCATCCCATTCAAGGAGCTGCTGGCCTGGGGGAGAGGTGGCCACAGGTATCCCATGCAGGGAGCTGGTGAGGAGCTGGAACTTGGGCCCAGAGGCACTGATGTCAAGGTCAACAGCATTCCCGGCTTTTGGAGGAGCCAGTCTCCAGGGCAAACTGAACTCTATGGTGCCATGCATCCCGTGCTGGGTGACCACTTCAGACCCACTGCTGCCTCTTCCTTCTCCCACTCTCAGGTGACTTCCAGGACAGCATATGGTCCCCTGAGGCAGAGATCCCAGAGCAAGCTGGGAAGGAGGAGTCCAGGTGGGAATGACGGGGCCTCAGCCCCTCCAGGGCAAGCCTGCAGCACAGAGAACACCCTAGAGTTGACCCCTTGAAGCAAGGTGGGCTCTTTGAGCCCCAAGCTGGTGACCCACTGGCTGTGAGCACCTTCCAAGGCATTAAGTGTCCTACCACACCCCGATCAGCAGGTCTGATTTCAACAGGCCCTCCCTGGCAGTCCCTGAATGTAGCCAGGGGGCCACTCTGGGTCCCACTCACAGGCCAGGGAAGAAACATGGTGGCCTCTTCAGGTACCCCTGCTTGCTTCTGTGGCCCTATTGTCCCTATCCTGTGTGTTGGGGAGGCTGGGCCGTGTCCATCTGGGGTATGCCTGGGAGTCCAGCCTTGGTGTCTGGGAACAAGGAAGAGGAAGAAGCATCGGAGGGACAGCTGAGCACAGTTTGGGCTAGTGTGGGTCATCGAAGCTGGGGCCACCCATTTTGCTCAGAAAATCCTTCAATTCTCCTTCCAGGCCCAGGGCAGTACAGAATTTGTTCATCCCTGGAAGTGAGCATGGTCATCAGAACTCTGCAGAAGCAATGTAGGTCACTTCTGGGTGGGGGCGGGGGAGGGAGATAGGAGCCCATGGCACAGTGTGGAGATGGAGCCCCTCTTACAGTGCTGAACAGTGGAGTTCCTGAAGCCTGAGGATGGCTGGCCACTACAGTGTGGCTGTTGACCCGACAGGATGTCTGTGACAACCAGCCAAAGGGATGGTGTTGGAGACTTGGGGAAGTGAGAAGCAAAGGCTAAGAACTGCAGGCTGAGGTCTCTAACGATCCCTTGGTCTTTGGGGAGGGAGTCTGCTTGGAAGGGCACAAAGATGGTGGGCAGGCATCACCTGAACAGCCTAAAATGGGATGTCTGTGCCTTTGCAGCCCCTAACTCCCGTTACCATCACTGCCCTGGGTCTCCTGGTTCTTGTTGAGCTCAGGGAGGATTCTACACTGTCACCATTTGGTCCCTCCTGTGGGAGGTCTCACTATGCTGTCTGTGTCCCAGACCTGTTCCCGAGGAAAGACCCCACACACTTGATCCCGTTGTGTGTGCCAAGATCTTGTCAGGCAGCTGGCAGGGTATGGCAGAGAGGCCTCACACAGAATTGGGGGTGGAGGGAAAAAAGGAGGGGCTGTCTTTGGCCTTGGACAAGGTCCTCAGTCTGGAGACTTCTCCCTCCTTCTGTAGCCAGGCCCAGCTGTCTGTCCACTTTCCCCCTCTCTCTCCCACCCTAAAGCCACTTGGCCCTCTTTCCCTCCTTTCTCCCCTCCTTTACCTCAACTCAAGGGCCTCTACCCATGTGCTTGTGGGCACCTAGCCTGCGGCCTCCCTCCCGCTATGAGCCACCCCTCCACTGAGAGGGGACACCCCAAGGCTCAGTGTGCCCTTGAGAAAAGAAGACTGGGGAGTAGGCCAGGCTACTAGGAGAATCCTGGAGTGTGGTCTGTACCCTGCAGGCATATCCTCTCCATCTCCTGGGCTTCCAGCTCCATGGGAGACGCCTACTGGGAGCTGGACTGGGTGGAGAGCCAGGACTGGGCTGCACTGGGCCTGGCGTGCCCTTCTGGCATAGACCTCCCCACCTGGGGCCTCAGCCCAAGGAAGAAGGGTGTTGTTCACTCAGCGGGGCTCTCCTCTACTTTCCTTGTCTCCTTCACTGCTCCCCCATATCTATGGGAGGCACAAGCTACATGCTTGGGCCTCCTCTGCTTCTGGGTCCCTCCAGCAGCCCGGCCCCACCCACAAGTCACCTCCTCAAGCCCCTTCTTTCTGTGGTCCTCAGTCGCCAGAAATAAAGGAATTGCTTTCCGTGCCCTCACAGATGTGGAGAGTTAATCTTAGCTGAGCCTTGGGGCTATACTGGTGACATCCTGAGTGCTACATGGCCGAGCACCTGCCGTCTCTCCCTGGCACCCGCTCACTGAGGCAGACTTGATTTTAGATGCAGGCAACAGCCAGTACATGGCAGCTCTGGGATTTGAGGGCATCCTCTCCTGACCAGAAACCTCCCACCAAACTGAGTCTGCTGGCTAGGCCCTGGGGGATGCCCCTGCCCCAGGCCTGAGGCAAGCACGGCCCCTCTCTGTGCCTCAGTTTCCCCACCCTATAGTGAGGAATCCATGATACCTGGATGGGCAGGTGCTGCCAGGGTTGGTGGGACCCTCAGCAAGGGGTGTCCTGGGGACTCAAGCTACAGGATCTGGGAGGTCTTAGGGCAGGAAGGCTGGGCCCTTCTGCCCCAGGCCGTGCCCCTGCACAGCCCCTCTTCCTGTTTCTTGGGAGCAGAGAGCCACAGCTATGTCTCAAATCACTTGTGTTCAGAGAGCCTGTCAATCACGTGATGACTCACTGAAAGGAAAACAACATCCCCACTTCCAGCTTCCCGTGAGCAGTAGCGTATGTGCAGAAGGCTGGTGCTCCTGGCTGGTGGTGCCGCCTCCATCCCTGCCCTCTCCTCTCCTTCTTGTTAGCAGTTCCATTATTTAAAAGAAAGAAAGGGGATAAAAGGGCAGAGGCGGTTTTTCATCCGAGTGCTGCACTCAGAGTGCCTGCTGGCCCTGCGGAGGGTGACAACACTTCCTGATGGCAGGTGGCTCTCTCTGCTCCATCTGTGTCCTGCCCCCAGGCCTCTGCTATGAGTCTGGCAGGCTCCATTCTCCCCTGGGCAGGTGCAGTGAGAATTACACTGCTGCTATGCGCCACCAGGTGCAACTCTACCCAGGCTCGGCTGGTGCTGCTCCCCAAGGTGCAGTTCCCCAAAGGGTAGGTCAGAAGGGGCACAGCAACCCCATCTGAGAGGTCAGTGAGGTATGGAGAAGCACCTGTGGATGACAGTGGTGATTGTGCCAGTCCAGTGGACAAGGGTGCCATCCATTATTCAACCAAACCCTGATCCATTGTTGCTCTGAAGGCGTTTCAGAGGTGTGCAGAAAGCCCAGAGTCAGTTGGCTTAAGGAGGATCGCCCTAAATCGTGTGGGCCTCACCTGACCTGGCTGGCTAAAAGAGGAAAGGCTAACTGCATATGCCAGCGTTAGTTAGCCTGAGCTGGGAGTTCTGGCTGCCCCATGGAGTTGGACTGGCCTAGTGAGGCCCTGCATTAAGGCAACTCCTTGCCATCCTTCTGTCACTGCCTGTCCCCTGCTGATCCTGCTTCTCATTGCACACTGTCTAGTACAGAGGTCTCATCCACTTCGAAGCTACTTCTCATCCTGGCACCTTCCTCTAAGGCAGAGGGGGCCGACTTCCCATGAAGCAGCAAAAACCCTTCGTGTCCAAGTTCCTGAGCCCCAGCATAGATAGAAAACAGGCTCAGAGAGACCGAGTTCCCAATCCTGCATCCAGGACAGCGAGGCTCCTGCACTGATCATGTTGCCTGCAAGGCCTGGCAAAGAAAATGGATGCGCTAGTCCCCTCCTGCTGCATGTCCCACACTGTAGCAGGAGGACTCATGGGGGATAGGTCCCAACTGAGCATGAATACGCCCCTTCCCACACCCCAGGCTGAGCCAGGCCTGGGGCTGCAGGGACTGTCCTCTGGGTAGGGGGACCTAAGGCCCTTCCAGGGATGACCCTAAGGTTTCTCTACTGCAATGTAGCAGTAGTCCCAAGCCTGAGACCCCCCCCCCTCGCTTTGCCCATGGACTCCAGTCACCCTCCATGCCAGGGACCTCCTCTGCAGCCCACACCAGCCCAGCCTACACCCTCAGAGAAACAACAGGAATGCTCTTGAGAAGTTTCAGTGTTTTATTAACAAAATCTTATTTTTTTAAAAAAAGTCTGTCTTCGAGGTAAGATGGCAGGGGCATGGCAGGGGCACATGGCCTGGCCAGATATTCAAGCCCGGCCTGGCAGGAGTGGAAGGGCAGTGACCACACACTGTTGAGGTAACCAGGATCTCACCAGCCCCAGGGCTGCCCGGCAGCCTGTACCAGCCAATGAGTATGGGTTATGGCTTATGTGCAAAAATAAATCTGGTGGGGGGACTGCTAGGGGTGCAGGGGACAATCTGTCAGGGCATTTGCAAAGTGAGATTCTGGAACCCTAGTGAGCAAGGCAGAAAGAGGACCCCCAGCCAAGACCTGCTCAGCTGTAGACACGACGCTACCAGCACCGGGGGGATCCAGCTTGGGCAACAGCAGGGCAGGGCAGGGCATGGCAGAGTGCCTGGCAGGGTTAGGAGCAAAGGCCTGGGGATCTCCCAGGGCTGGCTGGGAGCCACCAGCAGGGGCAGTGGCTGGGGCACTGGCCTTGGGCTCCTGGAAGGCTCTGGCATAAAGTGATGGCCACACAGCGAGCCATGGTTCCCTACTGGAAGGGCCAGGATAGGGGACCTAGCTCCAGCTGCAGTGGCTCTGGGAGCAGGCAGCAGGTGGCCAGCGGGGCGAGCATAGTGGCAGGCCCTGGCCCTCACGCTGGCCCGTCTTCACCATCAGCTCTCGGGCTGAGCTGGGGTGCTGTCCTCTTCCAGGCCTTCACTTCTCTGCAACCACACTCTCTCAGCTGTCCCAGGACTTCTGTGCATGTAGCTTCGAGACAGGGGAGGGTATGGTGCCAGGCACAGCAGCAAAGACTTCTCAGCAGCTTTGAGACCTAAAGGAAAGGAGAAGCAGCAGGTGTTTAGGGACAGTGTCACGCCAGATTCATCCCAAGGGTCGGGGACGGATGGAGGGACAGGCTGCCCTCCCCAGACTGGAGCCCAAGGGCCTGTCCAAACCTCTCTGCCCAGAGGGCCGGGATAAGCTGGAGACCTGGGGGCTGGGCAGGACAGTGGGTAAGGGATAGTCTTGGACAAGAGGGAGAGGGCGCCATTACCTGGTGTCATTCTCCTGGCTCTGAAGGTGCCGGCTGCTGCCTCAGCCGGATTTTAGAACTCTGCCCCTCTGGGACCCTCTGCATTCCTCAGCTGAGTCACCGAGCTGAGCTCTGCTCTTCTCCAGGCTTGTGTGAATCACTGTGCTGGGGCGAGAAAAAACAGGGTCCCTGTGAGCTGGCTCAGCAAACTCCCCCAGCACTGCCCCCAGCCTGGCCCTCTCCTTGGTCCCCGAAGTGTCTGTGCCTCCCACGATGCCATCCCCACCCAGTCCCTGCAGCTGACCTGCTGCAGAACCCTCAGAGTTTCAGTGGCTCCCCTGAAAATGTACCTGGCCCAATCCCTCCTTTCCCAACTCTAAGATGCCACAAGGCTCACCTTGGGGCCAGGAGGTGCCAGGATGTCAGGTCTGCTGCTGTTATTGCTGCATCTGTGGCTTCAGCTCACCCCTGGGAGGGGAGCTGTGCTGCCCAAGGATGGCCAGCTACTCTGGGAGGCGGCATGGGTGCCAGCTGGCTTTGCTGTGTCTGCCAGGAGCAGGTGGTGTCCCCGGAAGTTGAGGTTCCCTCTGCACTGGTTCTGCCATAGCTTCTGCCCTGGGGTGCCCACGAGCTTGGAGCTCACAGTCCCTGACTTCTGGACACTTGGTTTCCTGTGTGCCCAGAGGGTCAGGGCATTGGAGTAGAATGAGGACGCTGGGGATCTTCTGTGATGGCCTGAGAGTGTGGAGGTTGGGGCCACCAGCCAGGTGTGGCCAGGCCAAGGGAAGACAGACGAGGGGAGGGTGACAGGCAGGAACCCTGCAGGAGAGGAGTCTTTTTCTATTTGGTGGCGTGGGACTGCGAGTCAGACCAGGAGGCAACTGGGTGCCCAGTTGGACAGGATTCCCCTGTGCAAGTCAGCCCCAGCTCAAGTCCTGGTTGACAAAGGCCACAGGTTGGGTGTGGCAGGCGGGCTGGGGGGCCCTGGGCTGCCCTCTATTCGGTCTGGGTCCGGTCGCTGGCCATGGACTCGCTAGTGAGGGCAGGTGTGAGGGCCTCTGCCTCGTCCTCAGCAGGCAGAGGGGGACCAGCCGGCTCGGCCGCCTGCTGCAGATCATCCTGCACTTCCATGCCCCTCTGGATGAGCTGCTCCAGGGTCTTGGGCAGCGGGTGACGCAGGAAGCGCTTGAGTTTGGGCTGCAGGGTGCCGACCACGTACTGGATGATTTCCTCCTCCTCAGCGTCCACGTACAGTGTCTGGTACAGGTCTCGCTTGCGCCACAGGAACTGGTCCAGTGGCTCACCCTGCTTCTGCGGCAGATCCAGCTCCCGCTGGATGGCCTCCCGTGACAGCGTGCCCTCGCTGTACTGCAGGAACTCCTTCTTGAACTCCACCCAGTTCTTCACCGAGCCCTGCTTGAACTCCCACCACTTCTTGGCTGGCCCATTCATGTGGTTCTGGATCTGGGACAGCCAGTACTCCTCAGAGCCGCCCACCTGCCGCAGGTACTCTTCCAGGTGGCTCAGGAACTCCCGCGGGTCCTCAAAGATCTGAGTGTCTACACCAGGGCTGGGCTGTCCATCCTCACCTGAGCCCCATGGCTGGTACTGTTGGGCCTCAGCTGGCTCCTGTCCAGGTAGCTCCCCAGCAGCCGGTGGTGGGGTGATGGCATAGGGGCTCACAGTGTAGTCATAGCCATCAGCCTCGTGGCAGTAGCTTTCGGGACCCCCCACGCCCACGGAGACCGTGTGGCGGGCCGGCTCGTTGCCCACAGGGTACTTGCCGCCCATGGACTCCAGGCGGTCAGCCCACCTCTCCAGCCGGTAGAAGACCTCCCGCCACACGTGCATCTCGCGCTTAACCCAGCGCTCCAGGTTGGCGATGGTCTCCTGACAGCGGCTCAGGCAGGCCTTGATGGACTTTTTCCAGCGCTGCGAGTCGCTGGTGGGCACATAACCGTCCAGGTTGTTCTCCAGCTTGCCCACCGACCTGTGCAGCCCCTTCAGCTCACGCTCTACCTGCTTGGACACCTCGGTCAGCAGGTGCCGGTGGGTCCTCCGCACGTGCTCCAGCATCTCGGCCCGGCACTTACCGATCTGCAGGATCACATTGGGCTTGGCTGCGGGTCCGCCCCGCGGCCCGGAGTAGGGGTTGAGGCCGCCGCTCGTCATGTGGTCCAGCTCCATCTGTGCGCAGGTAGCGGTGCCCCGGACAGGCTGCAAAGTCCTCTGCGGCAGGCTGTGGGCAGGCGCAGGGCCGGCGGCGGCGAGGCAGCGCGCCCGGGTGCTGCGGTCCGCAGAGCGCTGCAGGTGCGGCAGGTGTGCGGCTGGCGGAGCTGCGGCTGAGCGAGGACGCGCCACCCAAGCTCTGCGCTCCGAGCCGCCGCCGCCGGCTTTTTATGCTGCCTGGGGCCGTGGGCGGCCCCGCGCCCAGCTCCGGCTCCCATTGGCCCCGCCGCAGGCTCCCCGCCAGCGTCTCCGCCCGCGCCCCCTCCTGCCGCAGGCCCCGCCTCCCCAGCGCCCACTCGCGCCTCCCGGGCGAGAGCCAGCGAGGACCAGCCCCCTGCACACCCGGCTCGCACGGGGTGACTAATCCGCAGCACTGCGCGCCTCCCACCGGGTGCTGGGTTCCTTCAGCCAGGAGGGACTTTGAGGGGACCAGCGAACCCCCGCCTCCTCACTAGCGCTGGACTGCAGGGACAGGAGGAGGCAGGTTGTCACCTGCTGCTTCTTGGCCCCAGGGTCTCATGATCTCTTTCCTAAAGGAGGATAGCCCGCTAGGCACTGCCCCTCTGGATCCTGACCTTGCCTCTGCCCAGCCTGGCTTTGCAGGATGACAACCTCAGAAGAGCCCTGGCAAGACCCTCTCCCTCCAGATGTCTTTTTCCTCAAGCAGCCTTCATTTCAGTGAGTACTTGTACACACCCACACCCACCAGATCCTGCCCACTCCTGCCCTTAGGGCCTGGAGTCCTGGTCCTAGTCTGGTTCTCTAGCCCTGTGAGGGACTTGCACCCAGGCAAAACCCTGTCTGGGCCCTGATGTAATGTGGCTGTGTGACTCCTGCCCAACTAACAGTGACTGGGAAGGACCACGGTGCCTCCAGAGGCCTGAGACTTCACTTAGGCCTCCCAGGAGTCTGGAAGATGTTTGGTGGGGAACAGGTGTGGTGGGCAGAGGAGGTGCAGGGGTCACTCAGCCCACAGATGAGTTCTGGGCCCTGAACACCACAGGGCATAGGCATAGCCGGGCCAGAAGCTCCAAGACTTCAAGGAGGCTGGAGACTAGAACAAGGAGGGAGGGAGGAGGAGGTCCGGGAGGAGGGAGGGAAGGAGAGAAGGAGGGAGGAGGGAGGAGGAGAAGAGGTGCTGGTAGCTCTCATCAGCCAGGAGAGGCAGAGGAAAGCAGCACGCCATATAAGGAATGGGGCTCCGGAAGCTGAGATTCCCTGCGGAGGGAGCCCCTTCTGCTTCCTTGGCAACTGCAGTGGTGCAGTGGGGGAGGGAGAAATGTCCTTCCAGGGTTCCTCCAAGGATGGCTGGCTGGGTCTAGGTCTCCATCCTCTGATGTTACCTGGGGGCAGGTGATATACCACCACCCACATCAGAGGCCCATGGACACACAATGACAGGACACCTTATTGCCTCTGCCAGTCCCTCTCCTCTCAGACACACCCACTGCACACTCATAGCCCCCAACACTTACCCCCACTCAGAGCCATATATACACTCATGCCCCCCACTCACAGTTCTGCACACTCATGCCCCCAGCCCTCCAACCCACCCTGTCTTGTTCACACACCACTGGAATCCCACTCCTTGCCCACCCCCTGGAGCCCCTCCCCTTCTGCTCTCGGGGAGCCCCTGCCCCCCTCAGAGCCAGCCTGTCTCCTTCTTCCCTGCTGGGCTTCTGCCCCTGAGGGGAATGTCTTTCTGGGGGGAAAAAAAAACCTTCCCCCAAAATGGCTCTCCTGGCATTTCTAATTAAAGTAGAGTGGGCGGGCACAGAAGGGAGGGCGGAGGGGCACCACCGCAGGGAGGGGGAGCCAGGCAGAGAAGCTACGAGAACAGGGACCAACTGGAGCCTTCCCACGGAGGAATCCCTATGGCAGGTGGTTGCAGACTGTGTCTGCACCCTGAGATGCCTGGCGGTTGTCAAGGGCCCTATGCTGTGGGGTCCAACTGATAAGCCAGCCGGACACTGCCTCTGGGTTCATGAGTGTGCCAGTCAGTGCTTCAGTGACCAAGGCTAGCCCCAGTGGTTTAAAAGCCCGCCCATGTGCCCCCTCCCAGGTCCCCTGACCATTGGGGCCAGGACAGGCTCTCAGGCCACCTTCCCAGCCCTGCCCTCAGGGAGGCACCGGTGGACAGGCTTCCTGGGCTGGAGGATGAGTGAGCAAAGATGAGATGGGAAGGGGTGACAGCATGAGCAGGCACTGCTACCTCCCCCTCTTCCCCCCCCCCCGCGCCCCGCTGCAGAGGAGCGGTGGGGGGTGGGTAGGCTAGATGCCAGCATCTGCCCCTTTGTCAGGGGAGCTGGACCTGGGCGGTAGAGGGTGCTCTCAAGGTGGCCAGAGGGCAGTCAGGACTTGGCTTGGAC